TTCAATAGAACTTGGCAATCCCTTCGACAATATATTGATAACTCTATTTGAAGAGGATTGATTTGATTCTCGGTGTGATAAGATGTAAGTCCTAGGGAAAGGGGCGGTGGGTGGGTCTTGAGAATGTCCCTGTTTATTTATGTCACTTCTGTTTTGTTTTTGTATTGTCTTTTTGTTTTATGTTCACATACAAAAAGAGGACACATTTGTATTGCTGATGTTTCAATTTTCATGTCTGATTCCTCAATAAATTTGCTTGACAACAAAACAATCAGAGGACCGACTTTGTCAAACTGAATCTTCAACCTTATGAATGCTACTGGAGCTGAGAGTATCAGCAGAGAGTTACTGATACTCATATCAGTGACTCTCAGCTGGACTCTCTGATAAGCGGACAAGTCAAAAATAGTTGTTGTTCCCAGCAAAGTACTCATCAACTTATTTCATTTCATGACATTTCAGTTATTGAAAGTATGTTGACTGTTTCAACATGGCTCTGTCTGTGTTTGTTTCCAGCTGAGGGAGATGCGCCATGAGAACCTGAATCTGTACCTGGGTTTGTTTGTGGATTCAGGGATCCTGGCCCTGGTGGTGGAGCACTGTCCTCGGGGCAGCCTGGCAGACCTGCTGGCCGACAGCGACGTCAGGCTGGACTGGATGTTCAAGTCATCGCTGCTCATGGACCTCATTAAGGTTCTCCTCAGATCACTTCAATACACCTTAAATCTTCTGACACAACGTCCCACTGAATCGAATCAAAAGTTGTGTCCAAGCTTAAAGTTACTTTTTTTTTCAGGCGCTTTGATGCATTTCTCATATCAGCCTCAGTATTTGCTCAACAGGCCGTGATTTTCTCCTAACAATGAGTGCAAACTGTAACACCTGGTCTTGGAGTCACTTGCTCAAAATAATTGTCCCGCTCCTCAAATGCAAGTATTCATGTGACCAGCTGTGTTCCCGTTCCAAATGTGCACAAAACTTTCTCAATATTCCACCAAAAAAAAATTCGCAATTAAATAAGAAACCCAATTAAAATCACACATGAATAAGTCATTAAAAACATGCCGCGCCACCATCCTACTACCATTTTCTGTCATCTTCTTAACGGTTTGCGCCAGCAGCAACATCCGGTTGTTGATCATGTGACCCATGTGACACGAAGAAAGTGTTCACATTGCAGTTTTCGAGATAAACCAATTTTATCATCCCAGCATCTAAACTTTTTATTCAACAAACTCAGAATTGCTAAGTTAACATAAACCAAATTTATAGTCAACATGTCAAATTGCACAATTTTATGGTCAATGGGAACACAGACAAGGACAGTCTAATTAAAATAAAAAGTCCCGACATCTTATTAGTGAACAGGATAGGGAAATGGCTTGAACATGTTTTCAATATGATATTTCATTCTGGAAATGTTTTCCAATGCAAGTCCTTAAATTAACCAAGAGTAAAACAATAATCCAAAGAATCTAAGTCAAAAGGCACAAATGAAAGTTAAAAATGAAGAAACCATATAAGCAAGGAACTTGTAAGATAAAATCCAAAAGCCAAATACACAAAGACCATAACAGCAGTCTGCTGCTTCATCCATTCAGTTTATTGTAATGCTGCCAAATCCTGAGAAAATAAATGGAAGCTTCTGAAGACATTAATAAATAAATGTTTGACATATTGTTTCTCTCATTATTGTGGCATTTATCAAATATAAGTAATTCCTTTTTACTCAGTGTATGTAAACTTCTTAACTGTGCATAGATTGATAAATAGAATTTGTATCTTTCCCTCTCTATCAAAACTAAGAACCAAACTTCTTGTTTGTTTAGTTATTAATTTCAATCACCTTTTAAGCGAGTCAGCTATTTTGCATTCGTTCTCTGAAACCGACAGATTATCTAGCTCTGTGTGACCAGGTTGCTGTCTTCATGTTCCAGGGAATGAAGTATCTTCATCTGCGAGGGTTGACTCACAGTCGCCTCAAGTCCACTAATTGCTTAGTGGACGGTCGATTTGTGTTGAAAATCACAGACTATGGCCTACCCATGATCCTTCAGTCTCAAGGTGTCAGTCTGTCTGACGATCCACAAGGTAAAACAGAATTACCAGAATTACACTCTACCTGCTAAAAATTTGACAATTGTACCAGTTACTTAACTATGCATAAACAAAATGGGAGTGATGTCCTTTTTTCACAACCATTTCAATGTTATATATATGTATGTATATTTCTTTATTTTGCGTGTTTACTCCCATTAGGATGATTTTTTAAAATGGTTCTTGTAAGTGGTTGAAAGTCAGAGTTTACAAACCTTGCACACACACACCCACTAGCACATATATCACACCTCAGAAAGTGGAATATAATCAAGCAAACATGGTGTTGTAATTCTGACTGTAGATTTGCAAAATCAAAAAAACAAAAGCAAAATATTTCTAGTAAAAGAGCTGCAAAATACCAAAGTAAAAGTTAACGTTCCACAGTCTCATCAAATATGAACATGAATGTAGTTATAATGAATACAAGAACAAAGTGTTTTTTTTTTCATTATATTGCTGCTTTATTAGTGTTTTCTGAGGCGTCACTGTGTCATGGTGTTGGTGTGGAAGCTGCTCTTTTGTCGGGTCTTTCTTGCTGTTTTTGGGTCTTAACTAACAGTGACGGGATCCTGACGTGGCAGACTGGGAATGTGCCAAATAGTTTATTAAAGAAGAGAAAATGTGAAGTTCTGTTAAAAATAAAAAATACAAAAATTGTGGCCTTATTGGATTTGTTTTTATTATTTACAATCTTGCACTACCAGCCTTACAAATTCATTTGGATTACAGTGAGCTGAAGATAAGAAATTTAACAATTTTTTTTATTATTATTTTGATTACCAGCTCTTTAATATGAACTAATATAAACTAGATGATTCAAAGTGAATTGTATTGAGATTAAACTACACAAAATGGTGGAAAAATGAATAAAAGAAAAATTATTGTGAAAACATTTGGAATTAATTTTAGGGTCACCTATAGTATACTCTGGTTGTCAAACCAGACCAGTAGAACATGTTGTAGTCAAGAAAATACTAAGAGTGCTAAGACCATCTTCAAACCTTCAGCTGGGGTCAGAAGTCAATTAGTTAGCAGATTAACACATAGAATTCATTGATTTTACTTTTTTAATTTCTGTTGGAAGTTCAGTTCCTCCAAGTAAGGGCTGTTTACTTTAGAGCAAGTTGTGATCGCTCATTGGTCAGTCACTGACAAAGCCACTGGATTGACTGACAGGAAGAAAGGATGATAACATCTGGCATCCTCATCATGTAGTTGGCCCTTTGCTTGTATTTTCATAATTTTCTTCTCAGTTTTTGAGAAGTGGTTTAAGAAGCTGATTGCCAGTCTAACATCTTACTGCTGTTCACAGCAAAGTGTGTAAATATGATGTTAGCCAAGCTTTTTTTTAAAAAATATATGTATATATATATATTTCTTCTTAGATCTTCTGTGGACAGCTCCTGAACTTCTGAGGAACTCAGAACAAGCCGGTTCTTTTGCAGGAGATGTCTTTAGTTTTTCCATCATCATACAGGAAGTGATCTCACGGACACTTCCCTACGCCATGATGGACATGCCTGCTCAGGGTAAGAATGCTTATCCTGTCTACAAACTTGTTGGTCTGACAAACCTCAGTCCCAGCAACCATTTGTGTGTCTAATCATCCCACCTTCTCTCTCTCTGCCTGTGGAACGATCAGAGATTGTGGAGCGTCTGAAGAAGCCCCCTCCTCTCTGCAGGCCTCTTGTTTCAGTGGATGAAGCTCCTGCTGAGTGTCTCAATCTGATGAATGAATGTTGGAACGAAGATCCAAGCAAGCGGCCCAACTTTGATGAAATTTTTAAGCAGGTGAGAGGATGCTTGTTTGGGGAGCTGAACATCTCAGTACATAATCGCCTTCATTCAGTTCAATTAATTGTATCTAAAATCTTCATAGTCTCTAGATTTATTTTAAAGGAGCAGTGTTTTGTGTTTTCCCAGCCACATAGTGCCATTTTATAGCTCATTCAAGTAACTACGTTAACTTCAGTAACTACGTTATAAAAGTGCAATATATACCAGATATGACTTAAAATAAATTTTACTTTGTAGTTTGTTTACTTTGCTTAACACCTTGAAATTGGGCCTCTGTCTCTTTAAAAACTTCTGCTCTTTCTGTAACCTTGTGTTCAGAAAGTGAAGACAATTAACAACATTCAACGTTTGTCTTAACTTATTTGTTTCCTAAAACCTTTGTGGCTGAAGTAACAATTAAATAATTTCCTAAAATACTTACATAAATAGCATTTAGAAAAATTTTATGGACAAGATACAGCTATAAATAGCCCCAATAAAAAAAGCTCTTTAAAAATGTACAGCTGGGACAATATGCAGCCTTCGGTAAGTGTCTATGGTTGCTCTGTTTTTAGTTCCGGGGCATCAGCAGAGGGAAGAAGGCTAACATCATTGACTCCATGCTGCGGATGCTGGAGCAGTACAGCTCCAACCTGGAGGATCTGATCAGGGAGCGAACAGATGAGCTGGAGGTTGAGAGGACCAAAACGGATAAATTAATTGGACAGCTTTTACCAAAGTAAGACTGGGTTCATGAGAAATATTAATACACACTCATATAAAACTGACATGCTGATCTTTCATACAATGAACCTGACCTGCCTGAGTGACGTTTGCCTCCCCACTAAAATTGATGTTAAATGTTTCCATCGGTGCCAATATCATTTTAAAGATATTAATAAATCTGTGCTTATAATCTTTCAGTTGCATTTTATTATATTTTGTTTTTTTTATTTTTTTTATCCATCCATTCCTTTATGCTTGTGAAATGAAATTACAATATTTCATTCATATTATTGTCTTTCCATATGCCACTCCAATGAAAGGAGATTTCTTTGTAGTGTCTGTACCTATCATATGTTGACATGTGTTAAGCCGTGTATCACTGGATGTTTCAGATCTGTGGCTCAGGCCTTGAAGAAGGGGAAGCCTGTCCAGCCTGAACACTACTCAGACTGCACACTGTACTTCAGCGACATCGTCGGATTTACAACCATCTCAGCTCTAAGTGAACCCATTGAGGTGAAAATGGCTGAAGTAACCGCTAGTTTTGACAATTTTGACTGTTTAACTGAAATTGTGTTTTTGAAGGTGGTCGACTTGCTTAATGACCTTTACACCATGTTTGATGCCATCATCGCTACTCATGATGTCTACAAAGTAAGCACCTTCAGCTATAAATCTATTTCTATTCACTCATCACACCAGACAAGATTTGGTAGAGTAAATCTCCCTTTGAAAAGACAAAGAGGATTGCTCTTCTGCACTGTTTTAATTAACTTAAATAACTAACTAACTGTGATGATGTGTTTATGTTCAGGTAGAGACTATTGGGGATGCTTACATGGTGGCTTCAGGGGTTCCTAACAGAAATGGGAATCGCCACGCAGCTGAAGTGTCAAACATGTCGCTTGACATCCTTCATTCAATAGGAGCATTTAAGATCAAACACATGCCAGAAATCAAAGTGAAAATACGCATTGGACTGCACTCAGGTACAGCATCACCTTTTAAACTGTTACAACCACTTTTATTTAAAGGGGCAGTGCTATTTAAAATGGACTTTTTTGAGCTTTACATCATGTTATAAAGTTATTGCTTCATCAAAAACATACCTGGAGTGTTACTTTGATTCTTTGATGCATATTTGAGAAATCCTGTAATCTCCATGGCAACCATTTAATCTAGCGCAACCTTTGAAACTCTTCCCCTGAGCTGCCATTTCCAATCTCCCCCTCATAGAGCAGCCCTTCCCCCACAACTCCACACTCAGCTCCTTCAGACTAGTGGCAGCAATTGACAAGCACCTGGTCATCAGCTGAGTTCATTGTATGAACTACTTCTCAAAGTAACCCTGGTAAAAACATTGTTGCAGATTTAATAGAGGAGCCATGTTATGATGACTTCCTGAAGGCGGACTTTCAGAAAGAGAAGGAGTTTTTAAAGAGACAGAGACCCATTTTCAATGCATTAAATTGCAAAGTTAAAATCATTTTACTTTTTACATGGTTACTTGACTGTGCTATAAAATGGGACCAAGTGCCTGAAAAATACATAATACTGTCCCTTTAAAGCCATCCTGTAATAATCAAGCTTTAAATTCTCAAACCTTTCCTTCATGCTATAAGAGACTGTATGTGAGAGACCATAATGGTGTACCCAAAAACAAGAATGAAGTATTTCTCAAGAAGCGTCTCTCATGTTGGGTGTGTTCAGGACCGGTGGTTGCAGGTGTGGTGGGACTGACCATGCCCAGGTACTGTCTGTTTGGAGACACGGTGACCACAGCCTCCCACATGGAAGCCAGCGGCCTGCGTAAGTATGAACATACCATGGTTCCATGGAACGGCTCAAAAAACAATCTAAAAAATTTGATAATTATATTATCTCTCCTTTCCTGATCACTTACAATACAATAAAACTTTGTTGTTAATATTCCCAAAACAAGGAAATAAAGATATAGATTTTGTTTTGTTTGATTTACAGATTTCTTCAATATGACGAACTGCATGAATTCCTGTACACGAATCAATTATTAACTCTATCCTATTGATCTATTTTTCAGTAGTCATTTTGCTGTAATGTTTTTACATTACAGCAAAATGACACACTGTATTTGATCAGTTCTCCACTCATTAATGACAATGTGGACCCTACATGCATTTCTTGACAGAAAGAAATATTAATTACTAACCAAAATTTCTGCAGATTATCCTAATTCAGATTCAAGATTTAGCATTACCTCAAGTCACAATGCAGACCTGAATTTCAGTTTCTCAGCTCACAAAAAACATATTTAAAGTAATGTCAGTGCAGTTTAATTAATAAATCTATTTCTGTATTGTGGTGGTTGGAAAGAAACTTCCAGAAAACCTCTTCCATCTGCATTTTAGTCTGCTCTCAAGCTGTGTTTCCATTAGCCATAAAACCGGGCAAATTTAAATTACAAAATTAAACCTGTTTAATGGAAACACCAATTTAAAAAAAAAAACAAAAAAAACTCCTGTTTTGTGCTCAAATGTTTTTGCACTAGGATGAGGTGGGGGGGTTTCCGTATCAGAATAGATGTATTTTGCAGAATTGCAATGGAAACACTTTCTCACATCACACAAGTCACATAATCAACAGCTGTACATTACTACTGACAGAAACGATGAAGACAATGACAGGAAGTGGTAGGGTGATGGTTTGTTTTTGTTTTTTCAGGCAGCTGGCTCCACCAGAGCTCTCACTGCACCACACAGTTCAAAAAAGGTTGTGTGTCATTCCAAAGTGCTGAATCTATAGCTCTTTTGAATTATGAATATATCTCATATAACTGTTTCCATCCGTTGCTGCTATGTTTCTCAATGACTCAATGGCTCATTCACATGTGATTATAATTTCTTTTCTTGTTTAATGGAAACGCCGCCAATGCAAAATTGTGTTGTTGTTTTTTTTTACATTAGCAGAACCTCGACAAAGATTTGCTCACATTAGTAATGAAAATGCAACTTCAGACACAACCTGCTTCTCACCCTCCTCAAAAAGAGATCTTAACCAGAGGATTGTACGCAGACCAGGACAGATCCTTCGTCACATGAATTCCCAGGAATATCTGTGCTGGACGCCCCTCTACTTATTGACAAAGAGTGTGTTTAACGTGATTGTTTCCTCCTCAAGGCGATCACCAGTTGCTTAGACTGGTCCACATTCAGAAGCAGATTTTTGTTGTTACGCCACTCTGTGAAAACCTTCACCACTTGTTATCTTTCTCATTGTTATGGGACAGTTTAGTCTTGCTTCCGATTGTCAAGGTCACAATTTTTTCTGTTGGACTGTCTGTCCTGTTTTGCTGCCAGAGGCAGTTTCTGAATCTTAAGCCTGCCTTCTTTTGTCTCCTCTGCCATTTGTAGTAAAATCCAGTTTACCAAGCTCTACCATTTCTAGTATAAAGCTTAACACAACTTGCTTTATACTTGTGGGGTTTTTTCAGCTTACAGGATCCATATCAGCCTCAGTACAGTCAAGGTTCTGACCAGTCTGAAAGTGGGATACCTCATAGACACCAGAAAGGCACAGGTATACCCGCCTGCTTAGATATTTGCTGTGACAAAAGTTGGATTTAATTCATTCTTTTGAAGAAGTCTGCTGTTTGCCCAGCAATGCAGTGATTTCCTTGTACACGCCTGTGTTTTGAAGGTAAAGGGCACAGAGGACACATACTGGCTGATGGGTCGAGAGGGTTTCAACAAACCTCTTCCTCTTCCCCCCGATCTTGCTGGAGGGTAAGAACACACGACATATGGAACAATCTTTATGTATTTGCTGAATTGACAAAAAAAAAAAACTGATACATTCTAATCTTAGTCATGAACATAATTTTTTTTTAATCACATTGATTCTTACTGACTTATTATACTTATTATCATTAGTTATTAGGCAATATTATTAAGAATGCTATTGGTAATTATTACAATTTTAATGAAAACAAATGTAAAAATCCAAGTAATTGTGGTTGAACATCTGACCTGTTTCATTGTTCTTCCCAGGGCCAGTAATCACGGCATAAGCCTCGATGAGATTCCTGTCGAAAGACGACAAAAGTTTCTCGACCGACAGAACAAAATTAAAAAATAGACAGCAAAGTTTTGTTTTATGTAACTGTCTGCAAAAACACAAAATCTTACCAGATATTTTTGGTCTGATTTCCAGTGAAAATATCTTGAAATAAGACAAAACTAACTTAAAAGTAACTTTTCTGAAAGAAATAGGAGTTTGTTTTTTTTCAATAACTCTTTAACATTTATCGGAAAAAAATTACTAGTTCAATTTCCACATTATTTCACTTATAATATGGGAAAATGTCTTGTTGTAAATGGTAAGGTAAGGTAATTTTATTTATATTGCACATTTTCAGCAACAAGGCAATTCAAAGTGCTTTACATGAATTTCTCCAGCTTTCTCATGAACTTTCTCCAGCTGAACAGAAACAAAACTGAAGTTATTATCTTTGGACTTAAAGAGGAGCGAACTAGAGTCAATGCGCAGCTTCAATTAT